GGCTTAGCATGTAGCATAGAGGGTTACTGTAACAATCTATGTTCTCTCATACAATAGTCATACTTCTTCCATAAGTCTGAATGTTAACACTCTCTTTCTGACCTTTCACACGTTTACAGATGCACTCTGTTTGTCAGGAACTTGAGATTCTTGGCAGGCATCAGCACCCAGATTTAACTCTTCCTTTCTTAAAGGTAACACCCTATGCGTTAAATGAAATATTTTTTGTTACATTAGTAAGTGCATATCTATTTTTCTATTGATGGCATTTGTCTTTCCATTATGATTTGTGTCACTAATCCATTGAAAAGTTGTATATATACCTATATATATATATATTAGTACACACACCAATATGCAACATATATTGTTTCCTTAGCACTTGACTAGTACGGAATATCATTCAACAGGGTGATAATTCTTATAATGTCATTATCAAATTAGCTATACTTGATCAATTAAAAAAATAGTAACTTCCATCTATTCTTTTTTTATAAATAAAAAATATAGTATGTCTCATTAAATACAAACACCAAGGGGTTAGTCCATGTACAAAATTATTTACACGTCAACCAGAATATTGATTAAGGTTTCCTAAATCCTCCATATAGTGCAAAGAGCGACCATGACGAAAAAACCCAAATTTTGAAACCATCCAGCTCTAACCCTATCAAAATCCTCTTCTACCTATTCAAAAGCTCTTCTATTTCTTTCTTTCCGAACCACCCAAAATTCCAAGGGGAATGAGACCCAAATGTTTTTTCCGACCACTAACACTCTTCCATTCTCATATCTCCTCCCTTACATTACGCACTATTACCCAACTAATCCCCAGCAGCCTATATGTCATACTCCATAAGTTATACACTAGGGGAAACCATAGTAAAATATGGTTGCAAGTCTTGTCCATTTCTTAGCATTGAAAGATCATCATAATTCTTACTCTTCTCATCAACTTGTTAATGGTCAAAATACATCAACACCCTGCTTCCCAAGCGAAGAAAGCAATTCTAGGAGGAGCATTCACTTTTCAAATTTGTTGGAAATGGAACTTGTTCTCCGATATGTCATTCTTTACCAAAGAGTTATAAAAGGCAATTGAACAGGTGCTATTTATGCCAGAATGTTGAAGAATCTTGCAACGATATCCTTTTGCGATGTCCAATTGCCTATGAGTTGTGATGCATGATTTATGGCCTCTTGGGAATTAATTGGGTTATTGCAGGGTCGGTTAAAGAGGAAATTTGGGCTTGGGAAGGGTTATGTAAAAAGAAGACTTTGTAAAGCTAATTCCATTGACCATTTTCTGGGTCATTTGAAAAGAGATGAACAATAGGGCTTTTGAGTTTAAAGAAGTAGGAAGTTTTAGATTGAGAGATAGATGGTTTTACTATTTTGGGTTTATTTATTAGGGTATGACATTATTAAGGATGAGAATTTTGGAAATGACATTGACACACTAACCCAATAGTAAATCTTTTGTATATGGTCGGTGCCCCTTTCGTACCTTATTAATATATTTTCACATTTGTTATTTCGAAAAAAAAGGACCCAATCATAAATGTCCTTGTTGGGTTGAGGATCCAAATTGGTTGGTCATCATTCTCGTTCAAAGATATTGAAGGCAATGTGCTCAAGAAAGATTCATAACTATTTATTCTATTGTTTCTTATAATCTTTTTGACTTGTTTTAAGCTGCAGATACCTGAACATCTATATTAATACCAATTCTTCATTAAAAAACTAAACATTTGGATTCCACCCCAAAAAAAATGAACATTTTTGGTTTCGAGTACATTATGCATATATATAGACGTTCAAGCATTCTTTTGTATATGATATTGTTGTGTATTTATACAATTTGAAAAGGATACCCGAATTCTTAGAGAGAAATATAGGAAAATAAGTACCAACGGGCATACCACCCATGTAAGAAGAATGGAAATTACAATGGGACCACCTAGAAAGTAGCCAGTTAGATGTGATAGAGAAACTTGTTTCTCTTATCAATTGAAGTCTATGACGAACTTGTTTCTATAACTTAAGAAAATGAAGTGTGTGGTGTGTCTATGAAGAAGCACCACAAAAACAAAAAAATTGAAAGAATATCACAAGGTTAGATATAGAAAAAGCGTATGATCAAATGAATTGGGATCTTATCGACTACATGCTGGCAAGAATAAGATTTGGAGATACGTGGAGAAAGTGGATTAATGCTTGCATCACCATAACTTATTTCTTGATTGTGATGAATGGTGGTCCATCAACTTTTTTCAAAGTATCGAGGGGCATAAGGCAAGATGATTTGTTACCCTCTTGTTGTTTACAATTGTGATGGAAGCACTCAACAAATTGCTAATGAGAGCTAGGGAGCAATGCTTGTTTAATGGAATCAAGATGGGTGAAGGAGAGATGGCCGAGGAAATAAGACACTTAAGTTTTTGCCACTGACACCTTGTTAGGTGTGTCTTGCTCCCCTTCAAGTCGTGTCTGGCATCAACATGAATCTTACAAATTTGAGATGGTAAGATTGGGGAACGGGAGTAATACTGGAAGACTAGCAAAGACCTTAGGGTGCAAAATTGTGGATCTATTGATCAAATACTTGGGCATTGCCTTTGGGTGCTAATTACAAAGATGTAAAGGCTTGGGAATCCTACTGTTGCTCGATTTGAGAGAAGATTTGGAGGTCTTTTAATTTATTATATGTTCCTTTTATTGATTCCAGTGAGTTTCGCCAAGAAATTGGAAACAATCTACTGTAGATTTTTGTGGGGTGATTCGATAAAAAGAAGGAAATACCATTTTTATGACACAATTAAAAGACCATTGAATTAGAGTGGGTTGGGTTTGTGATCTGTTGTTGAGATGAATTAAGCTCTCCCGAGGAAGTGGTTGGAGCGCTTTATGAAAGAAAGGGATAGTTTATGGAAGAGGATTAGTGAGGCAAAGTTTGGTATGGTGGATAGAGGATGGTATTCTAAAATGTCAATTAGACATCATAGGAAAGGGTTGTGGAAGAGGATTTGAACTAGAAGAGAAAAATTCCGAGAGTGTATTAAGTGGAAAATTGGAGGCGGACAAAGAGTTAATTTTGGTTGGACAATTAGCTCGATAGAGGGGTTTTGAGGCTTAACTTATCATGGATTTTTGCTATTGTGCGTTATAAGAACATTTCTACTAAAGAGGCTTTCTATGAAGGCGAGGGACACTTGGGGTGGTATATGGAGGTAATGCAGAATCTGAACGGCTGGGAAATAAATGATTGTGAATTGCTTGAGTTCTTTGGCATTGGTTTCGCTAACAAAGGACGATGACCAACCAGTATGGGTGGGCTTATAGTGCATCTAGGAACTTCACTGTGAGGACTTTCTACAAGTATCTAACCAAGAAAGAGCCAATCGAGGGCAATTTCCCTTTCAGACAAATTTGGAAAGTGAACACCTCCCCCCCCCAAGGATAGCTTTTTTCGCTTGGGAACTTGTTTGTGGCTGTGCATTTTGACTATTGATAAACTAATGAGGAGAGCGAAAATCTAGGTTTAACTAGTGTTTTCTATGTGAGAGAGCAGAGGATACTTGTGACC